GAAAGACATGGAACGAAGCGGTCCTGGCTTAATTTGAAGTATTATTTCAATGTAAGATTTGAGGCTTTCACGGCGGTGACTATGAAGAAAGCAGTCTTCTGGGATTTGGCACCGTGTATATGTGGTGTTAACTGACGTTACGTTCCTCCGAAACGTCGGTTAACACCACATATACACGGTGCCAAATCCCAGAAGACTGCTTTCTTATTATTTCAATATTTACCTGGGGAACTGAGGAAAGACAAGAAAATCACATTATTCGATGTTCTGGCCGATATACAAACCGGACTCCAACTGCATACAAGCCAGACGCATTGCTACTGCGTAAGAAATACAATTCTTTCGCCGAAATATCATGTAGAAACGCAGACACGCGTAATGGGAATCGTTGCATTTTGGTAAGGCTTCCTCTTTGGGGAAATGAGTCAAATTTCTAGAGCAGCAATGGCTCCCCCCCCACACCACAATATGCTGGTCACTGTATGTGAGTGTGCGGGTTATCAAGTGGGTTAGGGAACGGATTCCCGCTGGCTATTTCCGAAATTAACGTTAGAAATGTAAAATCAAGTCTTCCTTCTTGCGCCTTCCACTACCACCGGCAAGGGTGAGTATTAAAGCATGCAACGTTACGGATATTGTTAAACACATAATTTGGATGGTGAGTAATTTCAAATGTCTTCAGATAATGATCCTTAAAGAAAGGGGGGGGGGCACGAATCGGTTCTCGTAAGATGAATGTAAAGTTCTGAAGATTAATTTACACGTTAGAAGAATCATTTCAATAACCATACTTCCATATTCCTGTAAAACGGGATTGCAAGGAAGCAAGTTGGTTAATTTTTCTCGTAGAAAGAGACAGAACTACAAGGCTGCGATATTGTGAGATGATTTCCATTGTAACTTCCCATGTACTCTAATGCTATGTTTATTATGCGACGAAATGCGATATAACTGTTACTATATTAAACAATCCCTCACCAGCTACTGTTTTCGTGATAGAAAATCTCAACCACCCGCGGTTTAGCATTTGTGTCTATTTCTGTCAATCGCGGTATTTGATCCCCAGTACCTGTTCGTAGGAACAGATCTGCATAACTATAGTCATCGCAATCAAATCGTGCCCAGAATTATAAAGGTTTTCGTGGTTTTCCTCGGACCCTGAAGAAAGGTATCAGGAGAGCATGTAGCTTAACCGGGCTAAGAACGACTCCTTCCAGATCCTTCCAGACACATTATTCCTCAAACTTCCTATCATAAAACTGCAGGACCAGAAGCTTCGTAAGTTTCAGGCCTCGTCAAATATTCTTAGAATGTACAAATCAACGGGGATGATTGTCCGGGCATGTAGTAAGCATGGAAGAGAAGTGCATACGTAGATTTGATAGGAAAACATGAAGAAACGAGACCATTATTAGGCCTTGTGTGTAAAAAGTAAAAAAAAAAAAAAGTAAAGATATCCCTGTAACAGGCCGTGGAGACCCATAGGGTTGCGAAACGTTGAGGTTCCCACATTTTATCTAAACAATCGGCTCACAGATGGCGGCAAGGTTGTCAGCCCTACGCGCCGGCCTTCCTTTACCACCAGGAAGATTCCTGGTATTCATTTCCGTTAGAGGCTGAGTCGACCCCAGGGCCATAGTGCGGCTGGAAGGATTGGGTAAATTGATAAAAAATCCAATGACCTCATCGGGACTTGAACCCTTGTAGCATAGTGCCTTAACCAACTACGCTACCGCATGTTCCAGACTTATGTGTAGATGAAATTATAATGTTAAATGGGTCGTAAGGAAACAGAAGGGTACGGACTGGATTCATCTGGCTCAGGATAAGGACGGAGGAGGGAATCTTTTGAACAAGGCAATAGATCTTTGGTTCCATAAAATGCTGGGAATTTCTTGGAAAGATGATCAATTATTATCTTCCCTAGAAAGGCTCAGTTCCATAGATTTCGTTAGGCATGTTACCTTCAGACGCTAGTGTGATATATTGTCAGAATTCGGTAGTTATAAAGAGAAGAAGCGTGGATATAGCACTTAAGCATTTATTAACAAGAAGTCCTGGGAAGAACCAATTGCCTTCTTTCCTTCGATACGACATGGGTAGCATACAAAACGAAAAAAAATATTTTGGGGGGTGGGGGGCAACACACAGATACAGATGAAGGCGATCTCAAAAGCCTCCTAACAAAAATTATGGGGATACACAGAGAGACAGACAGCAAGCTGATCTCATTAGTCACACAACCTTAACAAGAAGTGCTAGGAAGAACTAACCGCCTACTTTTCTTTAATACGACATGGACCATAAAGAAAGCCACGCTTCCAACAATACGTATATTGCTGCGTGTGTATTCGTTGCCGCGGTACCGTATTTACCAAGCCGTTGCCTAGAAACGATAGGAGAGATACATATATAGACGCACAGACTGTTGGGACAGATTTGTGAAGCACGCTGTAGAGATGGGCTCAGATGTCATGATATGCATACCGAATTTCATAAAGACTGCTTCAGCCATCAAAACTTGATAAGAGGGGGATACACAGACAGCATGGCAATCGCATAAGCCTACGTCTATTTCTTCAAAATAAAGGCAGTCAGCTAAAAGAATTACGTACGGTACACAGAAAGATAGACATACACCGGTGGATACACACAGACAGACAGCATGGTGATTTCATAAGCCACTTTTTATTTCTTGAAAATAAGAGAATTGGTGTAAAAATGAATTTCTATCTACTCACCAGTTAGTGGGTTGATCTGGAAGCTGGTGTTGCTGGGAATCAGACTGAATCTGATGGCAGCGTTCACGTCAAGGTCAGCGTCGGTGGCCCCCACTTTCCCAACCTGTGCTCCGCGAGCCAGGTTCTCCTCGACGCTGAACTCATATACCTCGCGGGTGAAGCTAGGGTCATTATCGTTCGCGTCCATGACGTTGACGGAGATGCGAGACGTGGCGGATCCTGCTGGGGTCCCGTTGTCTGTAGCTGCCACAGTCAGCATGTAGTGATCCCTGGTCTCGCGGTCCAGTGGTTGCCGCAGGTACAGCCATCCGCTGTTCGGGAAAATGCCAAATATGTCGTCTTCACTCCCGTCACCACCACCAGATGGTGCGGGTGCTGAAGGTGTCTTGCCGTCTTGCTGGGTGTTGTTTGCATTGCCAAGAAGTCGGTATGTTAGTCGCGCGTTGTTACCGGTATCCAGATCTACGGCTGTTACTTGTAAAACCTGGAAGAAACATAATGTTGATTTGTTGGGAATGTAGATTACTCAAATACAATTATGAGCACAATTACACTGTACGATGTTCATTAACTGAGGTTCATGTTTTTTATACATCGATCTGGGACGGCCCTGACCGCCTCTGTGGTCTAGCGGTCAGAGTTCCTGGCTACAGAGGTTGAGGTTCCGGGTCCGATTTCAAGCACTACCAGATTTTCTGAGAAGTAGTGGGTCTGGAAAGGGGTCCACTCAGCCTCGTAAGGATAATTGAGGAGCTATTTTAAGGAAATAGCGGCTCCGGTCTAGAAGACCGAGATTAACGGCCGTGGGGATTCGTTACGCTGACCACGCGACACCCTCTATCCCCTTAGTTGGCACTAACATCGCCGAAAAGCAGCGGTCGCTCGGTCGATATAGTCCCCTTGCGGACTACAAGCCACGGAGTTGATTTTTTGGGGTTGGAAATATTCTTTAGGGGACGAGATTGCGAAGAGTCATATGTCCTGCCGATAAGCGATATAAACATCGCACGATTCAGGTTTATAAACTGGAACATAAATCCGATTAGTATCACAGGAGTCTCGCCAATGCTGGGCGATGCTGCACAGAACTCGCCCCCGACACCTACTGAACAAAGACGGCTGACCTTAGATTAGGAAATCTCTTAACAAAGCAAGTGAACTAGTTAAAAGCGTGTGAATATTCATGAAACTCACGTCGTCACGCTTGCTACAACTCAAAGTATGAGTGAGCACGCATAGGGAATACAGCCATACGTGTAACTTGATTTGCGTGCTATTCACTCGGTCGAAGGTTGTTTCAAAAGTTGAAACACTCGTCAGAATTTATTTCATAAATAAACAATCTTCTAAAGCAGTTATAATTTCATATATAATTAATTACAATCTATTCATAAGGCTTCTTAAAAGCGCTGAGCTCACGTTTTGAGCAGTAATACAGGGGTGGCCAAATCAATGAAAAAGTCGTGCCGAGAAAAAGACAATATGCTCTTAGTTAAGAGATTTATTGGCTCATTAGGTACATGCAACCAAATTAATGCATAGCGTAAGGCCTCCTTTCAAATAATAATTTACTCATTGTATGTAAGGCATAATAAAAAAAAATCCGTGGTTTTAGTCCGCAAGCGAACTATACCGAACGAGTCATCGCCGCTTGTCCGCGAAGTTAGTGCCAAATTTGGAGGATAGAGGGTGTCGCGTGGTCAACGCAACGAATCCCCAAGCCCCTTAATTTCGGTTTTCAGGACCGGAGTCACTATTTCCTTGAGATAACTCCTCAGTTATCCACACGAGGCTGAGTGGACACCGTTCCAGACCCACTACTTTTGAGAAAAGTTGGTAGAGCCGAGAATCGAACCCGGACCACTGGATCTGTAGCCAGGAACTCTGATCACTAGACCACAGCAAGGCACAAACATTCTTATTATAGTCATTCACGCTCCGGACACTTTTCTGACAGCACAGAGCCCCTTGTGTCCACTGGACAGGAGACCGGATGTGCTCCAGGGGGGATCTAGAAGACGAAGCGCCAATCATTACTGTTCCGTCTGACTCAGCTATGCTAAGCACTTTCAGTCTCGTATCCACTTCCATGCCCCAGTTATCCATAATAAACTTTAATATCATAATCTCACATATGTCCATATCTATCATGTGGCTCTCTATCTCTCTTGACGCTTCACAGCAAAGAAATACGAGTAATGTAAGGTAAAAGAAAGGTAAATTTGTCCCTGTGCTTAACAAATTAAGCGCTACGCCATGAAGATGTATGGGGGAGTGGATGTGTAGATCCACATTTACCTGACCTCGACACTAGCTAGAGGTGAGTGGTCAGCTTCACTTCCCGGCCGCTTTATCCGTGAGGCAAGAGCCCCCGGTACCCTTTGGATAGGAGGTTGGACGGACCCCAGAGCCGATCTGGACGACATGGAGAAGAGAAAATTCTTGACCCCACCGGGACTCGAACTCCGAACCCTTGGTCTACTCCGTAGCCATACCGGCTTCATATACGAGTAATGCAACTACTAAGACGTGTTGGGTGTTAAACTCTATTTCGCTTTTTTAATTTTTCCCTCGTAACATGAATTATGGATCACGCAAGCGCCTCTAAACTCCCTGCTATAATTATATAAACTCTGATTTTATTTTCAACATAAATTCTGGAAGATAAGAATTATCAATTTTCATTTTGTTTATGCTTTAGGTGTTCAGAACATACGTATGCATATGTCACGTGATTGAGTCACATGTGACGAATGTTTCAATAATAGGACAATTTTAGCCCCATAAAACTTGTGTTACACAGAAATTTACTGCTTCATGCTGTTGCTTTGTGGAGGTGCTTGGTCTAACGGCGAGGGGGGGTGGGGGAAATGAAGTATTTGGGCTTAAAAAGTTTCCTAAAAGCGAACTGTGGTGTAGTTGATACGACACGGCATGCTCTTCCACAAACTATTCCAATAAAGGAGGTTCCTTTAATAATGTTATATTTTAGCGTCCTGTTGCACTGATTTATGTCCATGATTTATTCTGACCGTCTTACAGTGCATACATTTATTCACCTTACTCTTCTCTCTTGCACTACATGTCTCGGCACAAAAGTGCCATCTTCAGGTGCTTTTCGATGTACGTCGAACTACTTCATTGCATGCCCTGTTGTCTTTATACTAAAATAACCAAAATATATATTCGTCATATATATTGATAAATTTTAAGTATTAAAAATATTAAAACTGTTCAGGATTTGTTATCCTTATGTCGTATCTCAATACGCGAGTCACACCTATCTTCTTCTGTCGGAGTATTCTTCCTCCTTTCGTGTGTGTATTGTGCTTTGTGTTGTGTCTTGCTCCTGTGACTGCGTGTATAACACAAAGCACAATACACACATGAAAGTAGGAAGAATACTCCGATAGAAGAAGATAGGTATGACTCGCGTATTGAGATACGACATAAGGATAACAAATCGTGAACAGTTTTAATATTTTTAATATTTAAAATTTATCAATATATATGACGAATATATATTTTGGTTATTTTAGTATAAAGACAACAGGGCATGCAATGAAGTAGTTCGACGTACATCGAAAAGCACCTGAAGATGGCACTTTAGTGCTGAAACATGTAGTGCAAGAGAGAAGAGTAAGGTGAATAAATGTATACACTGTCAGACGGTCAGAATAAATCATGGAGGTTCCTTCATTGAATCCCTCTTTATTCCTCGTCTTCTCTATCCATCCTTTCTCCTTCATCTTCTTCAGGCCGTTCTCAACATCGTCTAGTTTCCCGATGTTTAGATTCAACAAAATTCTATAGCACATCATACAACGTTTTCGGGTTGAATTTATTCCCGTTTCAGAACATACCGCGTGTCCGGATGAAAGGCATCTAAAATAAAAAAAAAATATATATCTCGGAAAGTAATTGTCATACACGTATCCGGTTTATGTCATCGGAAAGGAAAACTATGAAAGTATTTTTTCCATGCCCGGCCACATTTCTGCCACCATGTTAGGAATCACCTGGACAGAGAGATGGCTAGGAGATGGATCGCCAGGGGTGAACCAATCGCTTGGCCTACTAGATCGTCAGATTTACCGCCAGTGGATTTTTTCTTTTGGGGTTATGTGAAAAACACTAACTACCGGGTTTAAGATCAAAACCTAAAAGCCCGCATAAGGGACGCTGTGGCTAGGTAACACCGAACATGCTTAAAGCAACGTGGATCGAGGTCGAATATCGTCTGGATATTTGTCGTGCCACCAAGGGAGCCCATGTTGAAATTTATATGGAAAGTTATATACTCAGAAAAACTCTGATAGTTTCCCTTTGTAATGGTGTAACCCATAAATGTGTATAGTAAATACTTTCTGAGATATAATTATTTTATTTTGGATACCTTTCATCCGGACATCCTATATAATCCGATTCTGTTTTTAAGTAAGAATTAATGTAGTTTCTTACCTGAGAGTTCACAGGTAGGGATTCCACGATATCCACCGTGTACTCTGCTCTCTCAAAGACAGGCCTGTTGTCGTTCACGTCCTGAACTTCTACCAGAACAGTCAAGTTGGCGGACAGCTGGGGTTCCCCTGTGTCAGTGGCAATGATTATGAGGCTATGTCGCTGTGCTGTCTCGTAATCGAGGTGTCTGGCAAGTGTTAGGTGCCCCAGGCGCGGGTCCACGGCGAAGAGACCCACAACTGAAGTTCCTCCGGCAGCGCTGGACAGCCGATACCTGACCACGCCGTTCCTACCGGAGTCACGGTCCCTGGCATGCGCGGCGTACAGGGGGATGCCCAGCTCCAAGTTCTCGGGTACTGATATGCGGACCGTGCTGGAGTCGAACTCGGGAGCGTTGTCATTCACGTCTTCTATACCAATGTTAACCTGAAATAATAGAAACATCTATGTGGACAGAACGAATTGGTTTCGTGCTTCGAGAGCTGCACCAAAGTCTGTAGAACTCTTATGGATACTCCAGTTCTCCTTCGTTAATTTCGCCTCGACTGTGGGTGACATGAACAGGGACAAGAACGTCCTTCTGTTAGCCTAGGGATCCGATAAAAAGAGGGAAACCTATTAAAATCTGTGTAACTATCAGTCAACAAGAACTTATCTTCATGAGAAAAAAACTCCGTGGTTTTAGTCCCGCTTGTCGGTGAAGTTAGTGCCAACTTTAGCGGATAAAAGATGTCGCGTGGTCAGCGCAACGGATCCCCACGGCCGTTAATATCGGTTTTCTAAACCGGAGCCACTATTTATTTGNAACAACAACAATAACAACAACGGATCCGAGCTGTAGTGACTGAAAAATATTTCAATGGTTCTTTCAAACAAACGGACTGATACAGAACACAATGAGGCTTATGGTATACTGAACTATATGGTATTATATCGCACAAGACCGCAGTCTTCATAGTCACCGCTGTAAGAATCCCAAATGCAACACAGATAATGCTGACTTGGAAGCACATGGCGCTCAATGTTTCGCGTATATTTACAACAATCGGCGACTCCTTGTAAATTACGCTCTCTGATTGTCGCCCCCGGTACCTTCGCCATGTTCACAGACTTTTTAGACCAAATCAATTTGAAATAATAAAGAAAACTACTAGAAATCAAGTTTTGGAAGACAAGGAAAAAGAAACATGCTAAGCATGGAGTTAGGTACGAAGTGTGTAGAAACTGCCGCGCCTGCGCTCTTCGCTCCCATCCATTTTTGGCGCGTTGGCTCGAGATGAGAGGAGAAACGCCTTTACGTCTTCAAGTAGAGCGCCCATTATTGGCGTCCGATTTCAAATAATATTGGACAGTGTCCACAAATTTTATTAGAACTCCGCAATATCAAATTTAATTAGAATCTTTTCTGGGCAGGGCTTGTAGCACGAATGAGGGAGAAGGGAAATGTATATAAGAAATATATATATATGGTCGGGAAGCCCTAAGGAAGAAGACCACTGGGAAGACCAAGACGCAGGTGGTTGGACAATATTAAAATAGATCTCAAGGGAAATAGGATTGGATTAATTTTGCCCAGGACAGGGACCACTGGAGGGCTCTTGTGAAACGGTAATGAACCTTCTGGTTCATACAAAATGCTGGGAAGTTCTTGAGTAGCTGCACAATTGGCGGCTTCTCAAGAAGGGCTCAGCTCCATGAGTGAGTGAATGAGAGTCTTTTCAATAGTTCTCCAGTTGTTTCACGGTATACAAGGACGGCCAGATATGGTAAAGCTGACAAGCACGTATTTTCAACTCTTTGTTGTGAACACGACACACAATGAATATGGCGGGAATTGTGTTTATTTCCTTCAGCTTCTCCTGCGAGTAACGAGAAACAAAAGGTGCGAAAGGGTTAGCCACTGACCTGCGTATGTCCGTATGTCGGAGGGTCGCCGCTCATGGCTTGTACGTTCAGGAGCACTGACTGGTGTGCCTCATGGTCCAGTGTTGAGGCTGTGCGAATTGTGCCTGCTACTGAATCGATGTTGAAGTAGCCATCTGGGTCGCCTGAGTATATGGAGTACCTCACAGAACTCCTCGACCCTGCAACAAAGAACAACCAGCATCTCGTCAGGAGTTACGACCTTTACTTGTCAATGTGTGTTCTTCACTAAATATTATTAGAGTGATAAGGGGAAGAGGACAATGCATTTAGCACGCATGGAATATAAGGAATACTTCGGGATTCATACAAGGAGATCAACGTCACGAATTTCTGAGCGATTAGGCTTACACGCATCTGAAGACAGACTCTACACCACAGAGCTAATCAATTCCTCCGTCTCTTCGGGTAAACGTCCACACAAAAAACTGTCCCTGGGCTTAACTAATTAAGCACTACGCCATGAAGACATATGGGGGAGTGGATGTATATATCCGAACTTTATTTCCCTCGGGACTACTTTGAGGTAAGTGGTCAGCTTCACGCCCCGGCCTCTTCATTCCCGGGATAGAGTCCCATGTTAGCCATTGGATAGGAACTTGGTTGAACCCCAGAGCTGGTCTGGATGACGTGGAGAAAATTCTTGACCTTACTGGGACTAGAACTGTGACCTCTTCATCTTCCAGCCCGTAGCTAGTCGCTATACCGACTGCGCTATCTAGAATCTTGAAATACTTCGTGAACGTTTCCCTCGAAAACTAAATCTCTTCATCATTCATAATCATCATCTCATCTCATATGACGCTATGCAACTGAAACTGCATTGCTAAATGATGCAAGATTTAGTGAGGACCGTGTGTAATGTAAGCTGATCTTAATATTCTGATACTGAATCTTTGTACGTGACAGATTTATTTGGCCTAGAAGCAAAACTCGTATCTTAAAATTAGGAATGTAATCTCTCAAGGCCGCTCACGGTAGCAGAGCGGTCTAAGGCATGTACTGTCTTCGCTCGCTTGGAAACCGGGATCGTGGGTTCGAATCCCACTCAGGATATGGATGTTTAGTTTGTGTGTGTGCGTTTTTCTGTGTTTGTGTACAGGTAGAGGCCTTACGACGAGCTGAGCACCCGCCCAAGGAGTCCTACCGAATGTGTAACATCTAGATATACTGAAGTGAACGGAGAAGTTCATGGAGGTAGGCCTAGGCCCGCTGGGGCTGTAGTGTCAAGGAAAACAAAAATTTCTCATGACCTTCTCTGGAATCTGCACAGTATATCTGTCAGCATCACGATACAAATACAGAGGGACAGATGACTCAGTGGAGGCTTACGGATGTGTGGATCAATGAATCATTCACTGGTTCATTCTTCCTGCTTTAGTGTTTCTACATTAGAAGTTCTATTCAGGACCATCGACACTGCTATCCAGTATTATTGTTTTATTTATTTTTAATTTGGTTTTATTCATTTTAATTTTTTAATCAATGCCATGAATTAACAAATGAACGGATGGAAGGCCGAAGAAAGAATACATGGATGAGTACAGGTGCGAGGTTTTGTGACAGAAGGGCGGTTATGATCAGCTTACATGAGAGAAAACGGACAGANTGAACATATGGGTAAGCTAGGGTCACAGACTTGAAAGGATTCTGACGATGGTGTATACTGTACTTCTTTTGGCTTATTTTGGACTTCACCCATCGTCTGGTATGTAAAAGACAAAAAGACAAAAAACACGACCTTTCGGAGACTGGATCTGTCTCCATCTTCAGGTGGATAGGGAAGGATAAACCTACTCAGTTGGGCCCCTTAGAAAGAGCTAGTCTCAATCACTGGATCCACGTCCCACTAGCTCTTTCTAAGGGGCCCAACTGAGTAGGTTTATCCTTCCCTATCCACCTGAAGATGGAGACAGATCCAGTCTCCGAAAGGTCGTGTTTTTTGTCTTTTTGTCTTTTACATACCAGACGATGGGTGAAGTCCAAAATAAGCCAAAAGAAGTACAGTATACACCATCGTCAGAATCCTTTCAAGTCTGTGACCCTAGCTTACCCATATGTTCATCAAATAAACGTGAGCATCGGTACACCAACCAGCCCACCCATCCATTACTTGAGGATACCGGAAGCCTATCGTATAAATTTCACACGAATAATATTAAATTCAACTAATCATCCGAGTATATATCTCTTATTGCCTATGTAGACCGTGTTTATAGAGAATATCTAGGGTATGAGTTCGTTTTTTCTTTAAGGTACATAAAATGTATACAAATGTACGCAGTCTACATAACAATATTCTGCATTTAAAACAAAGTAGACACTATCGTATTAACGTTTGCTTTTATTGACACTACATGTTTCGACCCTTATACGGGGTCATCATCAGGCGTACAATGATACCAGTCTCAATTGTTGAATTGCATAAAATATTTGCATTTAATGCAAATGCAAATAGTTGATGCAATTCAACAATTGAAACTGTGAGACTGGTATCATTGTACGGCTGATGATGATGTAGTATAAGGGTCAAAAAATGTAGTGTCACTAAAACAAATGTTGATACGATAGTGTCTACTTCGTTTTAAATATAGAATATTGTTGTATAGACTGCATACTTTTGTATATATTTTATGTACCGTGTTTATAGCACATAATAGGATGCATACTATTAAGAGCGTTTATCTCCAGCCTCACATCGCGGATATTTTAAGAATTTACATATATAAACTTTAAAGTCTCCTTTTAATAATATATACTTCTTAATGATGGTCTTGTAAGACCGAAACATGTCGGGGTATCTGTAACACAGAGTCTACTTAACCAATAAATGAGATATACTTCTATAGTAATTTCCTTTGGTTTTATATGGATAGTATATCAGGAAATGAATCCTATCAAATTACACACGAATATGAGGTGTGTTAGTGGAATGCATTTCGTTAGCGGTTATGCATGTAAAACGATTCGTAGACTAAGGTATATAAACAATATAAAATGTTTATGTTACTAAGCTACCAGAACTTGTTATTAGGCACCATACGCTTGTATAAAAATAAAATCTCTGTAGTGGGTCGTCTCCCCAGCAGGCGGTAGTTGGCTTACTGACCTGTGCTGTAGGCAACTGCATTATGGCGCGATTCCTGCTCCTCAAAGCTGCTTTACCTGTTCTTTCAGATTTCATTTATTTCTATTTGCCCGAAGGATAATCATTTGAACGTATAATGAATATATATGAAAGGAATGTAATAAATAAAAGATCTTGAAATAAGACAGAAACAAACTGATATAAAATTATTGTGTTTTGGGATATTAACTGCCTTCTTGCTTTTACCTTAAAACATAGCATTTCGGAAATTGGATTCTGTCTCCGTTTTCAGGTAAAAATCTACACAATTGGACCCAATGGATCTCCAGACGTTATGTTTTGAACAAAAAATAGGGCGATGAATGATGTCCAAAAACATAATTTTATAAATATAACATCGTCACAAAATTTTAGATCTTATTAACAAACTGGTAATTGAATAATTTAACAAAACTTTGTGGACTGCACTGTTCACACGCCTATAGAGTTTAACGGAAAGGTGGCTGTAAATAAAAAATTTGAAAGAATTTGGAAGAAAGCTGTCTCTTTATTGTCATGTATTTACCCAGAAAAGCCCCGAAAATCTTCAATAATGAAAGAAAATCGAAAACCGAACCCGAGACTAACATAATTCAGAGTGCATGCAAGCCACTACACTACTGTCTGGAAAATGAAGTAAGGAAATTGTAGAGGAAATATGAGACGGAACATAAAATGACAGTGACGAACTTCATTATATAGATTTTACATTGTTATTAAAGGGTTTTAAATAATAATGTTGAAATGAGCAGGGCATGTAGTTCACAAAAAGAACTGCTAAACCTATGCGGAATATTGGTGGAGGGAAACTTTGGAATGTGGTCACTCAATCTGATGTAACCGGTCCCTGCTTTGGAGTTAGTTCGTATTTTAGCTAAATTCTTAGATTATTAGTGCATCGTGATAACTATTGTACCCTTTAGAATTATATAGTAATAACAGCGAATGCCTTGGCATGAAGCCCAAAAAATATATTTTTCGTGTTTTGCTCGGTTCTCGGTATAAACAGCGTTTATATTCAGACGCTTAAACACAGTTAGTTACTATAGGATTCTGACGATGGTGTATAACACACTGATATATTGGGATTCTGGACTTTATCCAGTGATTGAGCCTAGCTCTTTCTAACGGACCCAACAGAATAGGTGTTCCCCTTTTCCTTCACCTGAGGACGGAAACAGATCCAGTTTCCGAAACGTCGAGTTTCTGTTATCTTAAAAACTAGGACGATGGATAAAGTCCAGAAACCCAATATATCAGTGCTTAAACACAGGTTGGTAAATGTAATGTCAGGCGGTGTGTTCTCTAAAAGGCAGAAACCGAATTTCTTACAGAGTGTATATGATAAAAATGTACTTATAAAACTACTTTTATGGAAGCAAAAAATAAGGCCATCAACATTATGAAAAATACTACTTTCTTCGGGTTTATGACGTTTTGTTCCTTAAAAATTTTGAAATAAGATGTGCTATTGGAAGACCAATGGTGTCTGGAAGTCGATCAGTTTATGGTTATCAGATTGTCTGCAGCAAATTGAGTCTCAGTGTGTGTGGCGACAACATGGCATTATTCATACTGCAACGGATTTGATGAACGCGTTGCCAGGCAACAGTTTTGTAAACACGGTCCAACATGCAACAACAGAGGAAGCTGTGCTTTCCGTGTCCGATGTGACGCCACACAACAGTAGTTAGTGATCACGTGATATGTTTGCTGTGATGCATGTCCGTTCCGCGGCTATATAACTAAGGGTACAGGACTGTTCAGAGCACTTACGAGTAGTAGTAGCGGCAGAAGCACGCAAACAAGAGGACAGCAGTAGGCTGGAGGAGTACAGCAAGCAAGCAGTAAGCTTGAGGAGTACAGAAGAGTACAAGAAGTCAGACTATGAAAATTTAACGTGTGATTTGAAAACTGTATGTGTGTTGTAGTACAAGGATATTGGGAGTGTGTGATGTAGTGAGACTTTTATAGTGCCTGTGTGATAAATCTGTGAAGACTAGTACAGATAAACTGAAGAGGTTAGCGTAGAGT